TTAACCACAGAATAAAAAATGCATGATAGAGATGCCTCCTCATCCTTTTAGTCTTTGAATTATCAGACAGGAGCATTTGTAGAAGCTACAAAAACATAACTAGAAGGCAAATGTTGCAGCTGCTTGTGTACCTGCACTGGAAAAGTCAACGTAGGGAGCTACAGTTACTCAGCCAAGGACAAGATGTGTCATGCGGCTTGTGTGTGCAGTCACAGATAAGCAACTTGAACCTGAGATATCAATGTTGGTAATGAGCTGTTTCCTAAAGAACACGCATTACTTACTGTTATTGTTTGATTAAGAGTTTCAGCACTAGAGGCCCTAAGAATGCTGCAAACGAATCTCAAATAGAAAGAAAGCAACAGATGAAACTTACTTTGTTATTTTGCAGAGGAGATATTTCTATTACAGTTTTAAAGTTCAGGGAAATCTGGAAAAATGACTCTTACTAAACAAAGCACAAGCAAACCCCAACCCAAAGAACCACACAAAGCTCTGAGTCAGAGATGACCAATGCAGCAGAGGGCAAGGATCTGGTCACCAGCTCCATTTTGTGCAACTGGTTATGCACAGTACACGGTTCCTGGAAGCACCACGTGCCTAAAGCAGTGTCCCGCCAGGTGCTGCTGGATGGCTGGATCTTGGCCCCATGCTCCTCCTGTCCAAGAAAACTCCCCAACACCAGATCACAAGAACGTTCCCTGTGTGGTGACGACAACTCATCCCAAGCCCCAGGGTTTACTGTGCTGTGAATATTTCTTCCTAAATAGGATGAAGATCAGTGTAACAGCTTTGCGATCGCCAGCTGCAGACATTACTTAACGCTGTTGAAGACATCACAGGTATGTCCCTAAAGCAAAACACACCCATGAAATATGGAGCAGAGCACAGAATTCTTCACCATGCCTCCATGATGATTAAGTTCAGAAAAAAGCAAAAGTCTGATCCTTCTTCTACTCTTTTCCCTTGTACGATCATAAGCAGGCTTCATCAGCTGCATCCACATCTACTTTCAGATTAAACAACACAGTGGAAAAAACAAACAAGCAAACAACTCTGCAGCCCTCTCTCAAACCAACAGAGCTTTCTACATCCCTCACCTCCAGCTCTGACAAATGCCAGTGATTGTGCCTTCCACGTAAGTCTGGGAAATTGAGATCATTTTTTTTTTGGCACCAGTGCACAACACATCTCTCCACAGAGGACTTCACTGATGTTCACAGGAAATGCGACAAAAGCTTCAGAAACTTGATGAACTGTGTCAGTAGAAAAGCGGCCCTAGGAAAAGGTTAGGTGGGATGTATTTTTCATCAGTGTAAGAAGGAATGCAGCCAAGGTTGGGCTGCTGAGAAGGCACATGCCAAAGCATCTGGGGCACTACCAGCATATAAAACGTTCCTAATGCTACCTAGAAGTCTGAATTTAACAGTTCTGTTGGAATAAGGCTGTTCACCTGCATGGTGCTACATCAGGGAATCATCCTGCCTGTGAACTTGCACAGTGAGTTTCCCTAACCCTGTTAAAAGCACTAGGAACTGCAGGCAGACAGCGTGAGTGTGGTCATCTCTTGAATTTGCACCTCCATTACTTCACGCCATCCTCTCAGAAAAGTTTGTGGCTTAGTTTAAGAGTGGCTGATTTTGGTTACCTCTGTATCACCTGGAAAGTTTAAAACATCCCAGTGGAACTTAAGACCCTGCCCCACTTTTTACACTCCAGCTGACCCATTGCTTTACACATACAATAGACTGGAAGATCTCCAGAGACTGCTGCCAGTCTCAACCACCTGTGCTTCCATGAAAAGGTCCTCGGACACCAGAAGAAGGGCACAAGTAGCCAAAGCAAAAGCACTACAGCAATGCAGGAACCCAAACACATTTAGCCATTTGCTCAAAAGCCTGCTGGAACCCTAATGCAAGGTACCTTATCTACTTCACAGGTCTCAAGACCAGGTGACTCTTTCCTGATTCGCTATATCATCTGAAGGGAAAACAGGAGCAGGAATTCACTGGGAGTGCAGCAGAAGAGAAGCCACCAGATGCAGGACCTGCAGCCATTCTGGCCTGGGCTCACAGGCCTAGACTGCAGGGCTGCTTGTTCCAGCCCTTCCTAGCTCTCACCCCTTTCACCTCTGTTGTACTCTAGATGAGCTCTTCTTTCACCTTTTCTTCCCTGGCTTTTTTCCCCATTCCTTCTCTCTTGCTACATGGCTAATTTCTTCCCAACCAAGCAGCCCTCCTCTGCTCCCCGTGAAAAAAGCCAAGGTGTACATCTGCTAACCTCCCGCTTCCAGTGTCTTGCCTGCCGAGATGGTTTGCTGAGGCAGAAACTGTTTGTCAAGTCAATGCACAGTGAAGCTTCATTCCTGAGCTATCATCATACACTTCCGGCCTTTCATAATAAATGAGCTAAAAATGTGCCTTCATGGTAAGTATCATGACACATCAGATAAAGTTTGCCCACAAACACAAGGTTTGGGTTAAGCTGTTTACGCTGGATGTTTGCCCCAGGGTACATCAAGTGGTTTCAGACGCAGCATGTTGCAGAGCTGCATTTCAGTTTGTGCCAGCAGGGATGCTTCTACCAAAATCCCACATGTGGGCACCATTAGCCATGTTCACAGGCGTTAGTAACCCTGGCTTCCATGGTACACAATAAGCCTTTGTTTGCAGCCTGGCCCTGTGTAGCGAGAATTAGAGCACAGCACCAGAGGAAGCCTTGTCAGCAGATGGTTTGACTTGCACAACATGCAAGTTCTCTTTGCTTTTAGTGCTCACATTGCAATCAGGAATGAATGGGGAGCTAGAGGCTGGAAACGCACTCTTGAATCAACCGGAGTAGAAATACTGTTAGTAAGAACAACAGCAACCACCTCGGGCTCCGACCAGCAAGCACTCCTCAGAGCCCTAGCTCCAAACATCATCAGCACAGTGACCAAACGCCACCAAAGAGAGCTCACACCTCCTCCGGGCACAAGGTGTCACTACCACGATTCGGGGCCCAGCAGCTTCTCAGTGAGATGCTGCTGGCACCCCACACCAAACCAAGACTCAGGTTCCGAATAGCCTTCCACAGGCTGATGACAGGATTTCAGTGGTATAGATGACCGGATTTCAGTGGTTTTGGCTGGAACCCACTCACAGATTTCAATAGCAACCTCTTCCTCAATGAGCATAACAGAGCACTGATTTTCTTTGCCTTTTACTTTTATATAACTAGAGGTGTCAGTTGAAGGACCCTGCAGAGTGTATCATCTCTTTAGTGAGCAGCTCCTTTCTTCAAACTTCCTCAATACTTCTTTCTGCTTCCCCAGAAAAAGCAGACCGGGGGCCTCACGTCTCCAAAGTCCACTCAGTCCTTGGCATCTCCTCTGACATTGTCAGTAGAGGACATTCTGTCTGAATGATCCCTTACTGTTTTTAATTTAAGAATACAATAGTTCAGTTGGAAGGGACCTACACGGATCATCAAGGCCACGTGCATGAGCACTTCAGGGCTAACCCAAAGTGAAAGCACATTACTGAGGGCGTTAACCAAATGCCTCTTGAGCACTGACAGCCACAGGGCATCCAGCACCTCTCCAGGAAGCCTGTCCCAGTGTTTGGTTGCACTCATGATAAAGAATTTTTCCTAATGACCAGCCTGAGCCTCCCCTGCTACAGCTTTGTGCTGTTCCCACGCGTCCTGACATGGGGAAGAGACCAGTGCCTGCCTCTGCATTTCCCGTCCTCAGGGAGCTGCAGAGAGCCAGGAGGTCGCCCCCGGCCTCTTTTTCCCCAAACCAGACAACCAGAGTGTCCCCAGCCTCTCCTCACAGCACATGCCCTCCAGCCCTACTACCAGCTTTGCTGCCTCCTCTGGATGCTTTCATGCACCTTAACATCCCTTTTACATCGCAAAGCCCAGCACCATTTGCAAGGTGAGGCCACACCAACCCTAAATACAGGGGAAAAATCACCTCCTTTGACCACCTGGCTGTTCTGTGTTTAACACACCCAACACAGCTTTCTTTTTACTGCACTGTCCCCTAGGCACAAGGCTACCAGTACATTGCACCAGTCACCAAACAGCAGTCAAACAATCAGAGAAATGACAATTAGACTGACACAGCCTTAAGCTTCTGGGACTCCTAATTGGACAGACTATGGAAATTACTCCATCTCCAAAAGTTAGCATGCACTGCAAAATTAAAACCAATTCTCAGAACAAAACCAAAAAAAAAAAAGGAGCAAACAACAAAAAAGAACCAAGAACTCTTGAGGAGTAGTAAACAAAGACTTTGTCACTAGGATGTTCATGGGCTGAAAGCTAGGCTAATACCTGGGAATATGTCACCATGTACTTCCTATGCTTTTCCCTAGCAGCAAGGACACCGGGTAAAATGAAGTTTTACCTTGATCACATACAGCTGTCCTTTGTGTTTTTACAACTGACGTTCACGTTTAACTCCAGCCCAGGTCAGAACTTACCGTGTGCCAGCCTAGGAAAGGAAACCACAGCTCAACACCCAGTGTTTGTCCAGAAACCACTGGGGAATCATCAGACAAGCAGCAGGTCCATTTCCTACCAGCCTGCACCATCTTAATCTGCATGTGGACAAGGAGGCTCTCTGGAGCCCAATATCTTTTTCCAGTAGTACCCCTCTACTTCTGCAGGATCTCACTAACAAACTTTGGACAACTTTGAGATTCTTGACCTCATATCGAAGTACTAAGCCACTGAGATATAGTAGGCAAGTTCTTGAACTTCTAGGAGTCATTCCCATAGCAGAAATAAGGAAAGCAAGCCAAGTCCTTCCATCAATGGATGTAATCAAGGGATATGCTAGCTTGCAACATCTCTTGCTCTGAGCCAGATGGCAAAAGTTCTAGGTCACAAGCTTAGGATGCCCCTGTTTTAGAAGCGATCTGACCTCTTTATCACAATGTAACCCCACCAAGCACATCTATAGCAACAAGGCACCCAGATTCAAGTCCCCCCTATGTTCCCTACTTTCATACCTCTGTCTCAGGCCGAGGAATAAATACAGGGGGTCTCATCTTCAGAGTCAGGTCCTGGAAGTCCCACTCACCAAGCACATACTGCACTGGCATTCTGTGGCAAGCAAAAGCAAACAAAACTGTACAACTATGCTCTGTAACACAGAAAAGTTCTCAGTACTGTGTTTAACCCCTCTGAGAGTGGCTATCTAGACAGCCCTGAGGCTCTCAACCGCATGTACAACATGTACACGCCCTCTCTCTAAGGGAGTTGTAGGAGCTCCATTTCCACAGATCAGTTTGCAGCAGACCTGGGGAACTACAGGCTAGTTGGCCTCACCTCGATGATGGGGAAGCTCATGGAGCAAATAATCCTGGAGATTGTTTCCAAACATGTTAAGGACAGCATGGGTTTACAAAGGGAAAGTCACTCCTGGCCAACTGGAGTCCTGTCTGTGTCCAGTGCTGGGCTCCCAGCAGAGGGCAGACATGGATGCACTGGAGCAAGTCCAGCAAAGAGCCATTAAGATGATTAAGGGATTGGAGCACCTGACATACAAGGAGAGACTGAGAAAGCCACAGTTAAATTCTGTAAGCACAGAAGGGCTTAATGAAAACATACCGGCATCAGAGTCAGTATTGCCAGTTTCCTGCTCCTCTGTAACATCTCTTAAACCCTCTGTACTCCCACACAGGACAGATGACCCTAACCCTAACCGAGCACAGGTGACTTGCTACCTGACAGCAACAGCAAATGCCTATCACTTGAGTTACCATGAGAAACTGATGCAGCACTAGCTGTAACATGACCTGTCAGCTACTGGTGGTCTTCAGCCCTCCCTCTGCTACCATTCTTCTGGCTGCATTAAGCCTGAGGGAAACTCTCCAAAGGAACAGAGGCAAGAGGATTCCCCTACCTTTCTAGTCGCCTGTGACACAGCTGCTGGATCTGCTCCTGCTGCACTGCTGTAAGTGGAGTACGGAGTTTTTCGGAGTTCAAGCTCTGAAACTGAAGACATCACTTTAAAACCAGCCCATTTGTACAGCTTAGGCATTGTCTGCATTGATGCAATGGCATTTTCAAGGCAGACCCAGCACACTGCCAAGCACACATGGCTGGGACCCTTGGAAACCCTGAACAACCAAGGAGAGGCTACCTGTATGTTTAAAAACAAACCTGTACAACTGTTTTGCTACTTTTTGGGGTTAGAAGTACAGGTAAAATTAAGATTCATTCCACCAAAGAAGTCAGAGCACAATGCTAGTGTATGTGCAATGGGTTACATTTCATTCCCTACAAAGAAAGTATTTAGGAGATCCCAACTACTTTATTGGCATTAATAAACTATACCCCGCACTGCCATCTGAAGGAGGAAAAAGTTGTTTCACCTCCTATTTGTGAGATAAAAAGAAGGGCAAGGGATTTGATCAAAACAATAAGGCAAGAGTCCACACAGACCTTAACCCTTTTCCATTACTTAACTGTTTTTGCTCCCAGGACAAAGGACACGATGTATTCGCTGGATTCTCGTGCCTCAGGGATCCCGTTTGTCTCAAACACCTTCTGCCAGTAGCCGACCACATCAATGGCAGTCACCAGCCCAGGTCTTGCACTGCAGCTCTGCCTCAAAGATGACTGCTTGGGGCCAAGGACAGGACTTTGGCTCAATCCCGCTGGCACACACTGAGGCAAAAGACCCAAGAACCTCCTGAGCAGTGGCCGGGTGAGGCACCTCATTCTTGCAAAGTCAGCTCCTGACTTCCACCTGGGTTCCTCCTTTCTGTCTGCTGATCTGATCACTGATGAGACTCACAGGACACCTGGTGTTGCACAAGCCCCCACGGCTAAGCATCAGCTGGTCATAGTCAATGGATTCTCCTCAGGGCACAGTGAAAAGGGCCCTGGCTTGCAGACTTGCTTGCCTAGAAAGAGGACAGAGAAGTCTGGCCTGAGTCCTCAGGGTAGCAAAAAGTCACGGGTTCCCTTCTGACAGAACGCAGACTGCTTGCCTGACTCCCACCAACAGGTATAAAAGCAGCTACTCATACCCTAAGAGAAGCAAAGGATTACCCCCAAACAACCTCAGGTGGCAGCTGAACAGCTCTGCCATGGGAACCCCTTTCCTAGAGCATCTGCCCATCCCCACAGGCCAGAGCTACAAGAAGCCAGTCTGTGCCCATGGCAAGGCAGCAGCCAGCATGCCTACAGCAAGCCACAGGCATGCCCCTCAGCTGCATCCCCAGGACAGGTCACCCAGCTCCCTGCACAGAGGCCTCCAGCTCTTTTCTTCCTCTCCTGTTCAAAGCCCCCAAGCTTCTCACAGAAGACTCTGAGCTCACAGGTCATGTTTTTTCCACGTTGTTTCCTTCCAAGGGGGGTACAGAGCAAGGGAAGGAGAAAACCTCACAAGGTGCACTCAGAGGGATGAGAAACACTTGAAAGCCACGACGGCAAACCCAGCCCAAGGGCAGTCAGCCTCTTAAAGAAGCACGGCCAGAGAGTTAAAAAACACATAAACACGCAAAAAGACAACCACTGAGACACCAGGAGACCAAACTTTATAAAACACGAGCTAAACACCGCACTTGAAGCTGCCTTTTAACAGCAGCCGGCCCATCTTCCCGCTGCGACCCTGCAGGAGCGAGGCCCCTCGCCCCCTGCCTCACAGCCCCGCGGGTCCCCTCAGCTCCTGCTCCCGCCTCAGCGCGCCCACAGCGGCCCCCGGCCGAGCAGGGCGCGGGCTGGCTCAGCCCCCAACCGGGCCACAGCCGGCTCCGAGCTCCCAGAGGGGCAGCCTGGAGCCTGCCCTGCCCGTGCTGCGGGGCAGAGCCGCGCTCCTGACTGGAACCGGGCGGCAGCGGGGGCTCCCCGGCCCCGTTCTTCGCAGGGCTCCGCCGCGCCCCCCCCGCCGTTACCTCAGCGGCCCCTCAGCGGCGGACCGGCCGCCTCAGCCGCCGCGCGCGTGATTGACACGGCACCATCCAACCGCGAGCCGAGCCTTGAGGCCGCCGGCCAATCGCGTTGCGACTTGGAGCGGAGGGGCGGGGCTTAGCGGGCGCTGCCCCCCCCCACTCCTGCGGGCAGCGCGGCCCCGGCCCGGCCCCAGCGGCGGCGGCGGCGCCCCGCGGGCAGCGCTCAGTAAGTGGGGGGGGGGGCGGGAGCGGCCGGGCCGCGAGGGGCGCTGAGGGCCGCGGCTCCGCGCCCGGTGCCCTCCTTCTCCGCAGCCCCCGGAGCCGAGGAGCGGCCGCTGGAGCTCCCGGGAGCCGTGGAGGAGGCGTGGGAGCCGTGGCCGGGCCCCGGAGAGCAGCCGTGGGGGCAGTGCCCAGCCCGGCGCCGGGATGACAACGGGGAGAGGAGGGGGGGGGAATGGGGGGGGGAGGCGCAGTGTGGGCCAGGAGGGGCTCGGGGGCTGAAGCAGCCTCCAGCGGGTGTCCGAGCCCTGCTGGGAAGCCTTCAGCCGGCACCGTGCATGGGCGGGGTGCTGAGGGCACCAATCCTCCCCCCCAGCCCCATCCCACCAGGTTTGCAGCTCGTTGTAACCCAGCTTGGTTTCAGCACAGCAGCACCAGGTCTGGCCCCTCTGTAAGGGGGCCTTACCCCAAGGCTTGAAATCAGCATCACCGTCCCAAGCGGTTTTCCAAAAGTGACGCTGAATTGAGGCGGAGGCTGGTCCGTTACGCTTCCAGAAGTCAGCAGCTCTTTGGGATCTGTGCTCTGAGCAGCCCTGAGGCCTGCTGCACTGCTTTCACTTCGGGTCCTTTTCCAATTTCTGTTTCCTTGCTTGTGGCTTTATAAAACATCAAGGATCATTGTTTCTCTGAATAGCAGAAATGGATGTTTCTCTCTGAGCAGCCGCTCCGTCCGCCCCATACCTGCTCAACAGTTCCCTCCCTTCCCCTGCTGGGCCATGGCTGCTGTGGCACTCGGCTTTCAGATTTGGCATCTCTGGGCCCGGGTGTCCCCCACCCCTGAGCTCCACTGCAGTCAGTGGTGGGATCCAGGTGCTGTCCAGTTTGGTGGTCAGTGGAGGACGCTTTCCCATTCAGCCACAGGGAACCCGTGTCCCAGCGTGATGCAGGCCAAAGGTGCCGTCTACTTTCACCTTTCTCTAGAAACTCACAGGAATTTGCCATGTTCCGCAACTCTCCCAGGCACTTCGAAATCTTCCGACAGCTCCTGCATCACCAAGTTGGTCACTGGGAACTGTGAGACCGGGTCTGCGTGTGTGGTGAGAGGTCTGCATGCTCGGGGAGATGCAGGACAAGTGCTGTGATGGCAAGGCGGGCTGCTGGCAGACCACAGGGAGGCCTGGAGCTGTTTGCCTGGTGTGATTTCTCTGCTTCAGTTGTTAGTGACAGATGTTAATCATGCTGCTTAACGCAGTTACAGACAGCAGCAAGGCATCACAGTAATGGGAACTGCGCAATAACCTTGCCCAGAATAGAACAGTAGAGCTGAACAATGGCTCATTTCTCTTTGCAAGCACATCTTTTTCTATTCAGAGCTCATTAACCCCTGTGTCCTGGTTGCATTCCAGTTCAGAGATGTAATGTCTGCTGAAGTACAGAGAAATTATCAGAGGACCGCTACTGTAGTTCTTGGGATCAGTATTACTCTGCTCCAGAGGTAGCTGTGTTTTCACTGAAGCAATTGCTGAACTAGTGCTCTATACAGTGATTTTTATAAACAAAGTTATGCAGATACTTCCCATAGGATCATCCCATGGTGTTTTGCAACTCCCGATCATTTCCACAATAGAAGCATGAAAACAATTAGAGTCTTTCATGTTTTCAGCATGAATAGATCTGTCAGATTTCACAACTGCAATCCCAAATGGGACCTATTTTAGAATTAATACCAATAATTAGCAGTGCATGACTAAGCCTGAGTGGGTGCTTTCACAGGGGACTTGAGAAATACCATCTCTAGCAGCAGATGGGGGGACCAGTGCAACCCACTGCTTTAAGGAAGCTGCCTTCCAGGGTCCGTGGGTTGAGGGACAGTGGGTGGATGGACAGGGCAGGGATTTGCCAGTCAGCAGTGACTATTGCAACAGGGCAGTCCTGCTTCGGATTCTATAGAAAAACATCCCAAATTATGGATGCCTCAGAGCTGATTGCTGTTTTACTGGATCCGTTTTCACTGGTAAACTTGAGGGGATCTCTGTAACTTTCTGTAAATTGAAAGCAAGAGACAGAAGAGAAGCAGGAAGATTCTGTTTTTCTGGTATGGATGGAGCCCACCTGGCTCAGCCGGGAGCAGACAAAGGCAGGGGCTCTGAGGCCGGTCTCACACAGATCTGCCAAGTGCCTGCAAGGAGCTGAGCTGAAGTAGTGAGGGGAGAGCATATCACTGACTTCAGCTGAATCAGGCAGGACTTTGGAGACTCTTTCAGGGGGAAAATGGTTTGTTTGTTGATTTTTTTCCTTATTTTGAGTGGGCATCTCTGAGCTGCTCTCAAAACTTGTGCTAGTTATTTGGGAGGCTTTGGGAAAGGTGCCTGTCTCTGTTTGCACTATGTGTCTGCTCTCTTCCTTTCCAGGGCAGAAACCAGTGTGGTTCCATGAAGGAAAGCCAGCAGCGATGATGCTACAGGATAGGTCTCACATGAGGGTCCTTGAAATGAGGAGCAGCTCTCCACTACTGTAGCTGGAACCTGTCTGTTGAGTGGCTGGAGACAACAGCTTGGTAAAAGAAGCTACCAGGAGCTGGCAGGATGAGTTACAGCTCACCCTCTGTACCTGACTTGTATCACAGCACCACCACAACGGCCAAGCCAGACCCAGGAACAACTCTGGATGTGACTGTACCAGAAACAGCTACCGTAAGCCCTGAGACTACTAGTTTCAACAGCACCAAAATCCCAGATGTGGCCAGCAGTGGACCTGGCATGAGCACAATGCTGCTGTCCTTTGGGATCATTACTGTGATTGGGTTGGCTGTAGCTATGGTAAGAGAGACCCTGCTAAATATTTCTCTGTCTGTTGAGGGTTGGGGTTATCAAAGGGGCTCTAGGACTGATTTGGGTTGAATAACGTCTGTGTGTTATATTAAAGGCTCATCCAGAACTGGTGGGAACTGATAGTTCCCAAGATCCTTTTCTTTTTAAGGCCTTAATCCAGTGCTCCAATACTTCTGCAGCCTCCCTAGGGTCTAGTCTGAGCCGGCTGCTCAGCAGGCCTAGAGGAATCCGTATATAGCATCGGTATTTATTTTTAATAGCAAGAGGAAGTTCAATTAAAAGAACACAAAGCAGCAGCAGACTGACAAACAAGTCAGTCTGTTCTGACTTGTTAACTGCAACAGCTGCATTGATTTAAACCTTGTCAACACAAGGAAGTCCATCCTACTTAACTTGTAAAGCAGACTGTTGAACCATGTTAATCTCCTCTGTGGACATGGCTTTATGAATTAAGGCAGCCTACATTCATTTTAACTTGCCTCATTCTAGACCGCATTTCTGAGGTTCTACTTGCTGGGAATGAGCAGAGTCCTCCAGGATTTGCTGCATGTAACTAATGTTGCTATTGGTGCTTTAGGTAGAAGCTTTCAGAAACTAGTTCTGGGCCTGACAGAGACAATGCAAGTGCTGCAGTTTTCTTTCAATATATAACCAGATCGTTTACCTGCCAACAGAGAACGAAGGTAGCAGCAAGCTCCCATTCCTCGTATGAGGAAGAGCTTCACTAATACAACCAGCAGAGGAGCCTATGGAAAGGGACTACTGCAAAATTTCATTGCAGGCCCAAGGAGGAGTTTCTCCAAAAGCCCCTAAAGAGAACCTGGAAACATTATCCTGGAAACAGTCATAAGTTCCCGAGAGCAACAGCCAGCGTTCGTAGTTCTCAGAACAAGGCTCTGGAGGCCAAAAGCCTCGCTTTCCTCCCAGCCCAGCCACTCTTACTGGCTGACATGAGGCAAGTCACTGAGCATGCCCTCTTTGCTTCTTCCCTTTGTACTGGGGAGGGGGTAACGATGCTTCTGTGCTGTAGGACTCTGCAGATGAAAACCACAAATTGAAGGTTCTTCATTCACTCTTAAATTGCAACATATAGCCTGCAGCCACCAGAAACGTGCTAAGCTACATTTAATATACACCTAATACTCTGACTACTACTAACACACCTAACAAAAGGCCACTCGAGCACTTGGTGTCAGACTGGATGTGCTGCCAAGCTTACACTGATGTATATGAAATGTCAGTTTCAGCTGTCACTTCTCCCTTCCCTCTGCTTTGATGCGCAGTGACATCGGACTTGCTACACCTCCTTTCTATGTGCCCTGTACCAAAATTATCTCGCCAGCACTGATCTCCATCCTGCTGGGACTGTTGTAATGATGGTTTTCTTTCTCCTTCAGGTTCTGTATATCAGGAAGAGGAAGAGGTGAGTAACTTCTCTTGGTACCTGAAGGGAATTCAGTGTTCCAAAATCCAGGTAGGGCTAGGATGTAGAGCAGAAGATGGGGAGAGTATAAGGAACGGCTGTCTGAGAGCAAGCATACAGGCAGCCAGCTGCATGTGAATGAGGCAGGAGCAGGGACTCTGCACTCTGCCTTCTAACAGCAGAGCTTCCAAGGCTCCTTTGCAGCTTTGGGAAGGACAACATTGTTGAGCAGGAGGAGGTTGGGGATCCTGTAAGCTCTTCATGCTTCATCTGTGAAATGCACTAAAAAAGAGGAAAGGATCAGGAGTGTATAAAGAAGCTGGAAACTGATGTGAGAGGCGTGTGTCTCACATTTCAACTGTTCCCAGATCTCTGTGCTTCCCGACAGCCCAAGCCAATGACAGTGGCCTTACAAGTGCCTCTTTAGCTGCAGTCACAGCAATGCCAGCAGCATAGTGCAGAGATGCAGCTTTCTAGCCTGAGACTTAGTGTCTTAATTTCCTTGTTAAGCTCCCATC